AGTATAAACTCACCAGAGGCTTTTCATCATGAAAGAGATTAGGATAAAAGTCCTACATTTAGCTAATGAGCCATTACACCTCCATGCAGGAAATGCCATCAGATTTAAAGTCTACCATTTGAAACACTCAGGACAAAACCAATCCTGAGCATACTCAGACTGCCACATGTTTCTATGATGTTTGTACTAGCTGTAGGTACACAATGAAAAGACTCAGTCTGCCATGAGACTATAAATCGGCGAAACTCACCCTCAGCTCATCCTTAGTCTCATCCCAGGGGCCAGCCCAGTGTAACACCATTGCTCCCTGAGAACAGTTGGGTGACCTCCTCACATGCAGGTGCAGTTTGCTACTCTCCAGCCAGTCCAAGGAGAAGGAAAGGTTTATTCCCAGATAAATGGAAGCATTAAATGTCAACATCTATTTCTTCCTGTATGGATTCCCACCCTCAAGGCAAACTGTGGGATCTGAGCCATAAAGCAGGACAGCTTTATGAAGAGGCATCAGGGAGGGAGGCAGAGAGATGACACTGAAGCCCCTCTCTAAATCCCCTTGATGTAGGCAGGGAAGGACACGGGGTATGAACCACCACACCCATCTACCTCCAATCCTCTGGGCATCTGTGAAAACACAGCTCTGCCCAGAGGAGTCAGGACAGCACAGCTTCTCTGCTCCTTGACAGGGATTTCTAGAGAAGCCATTCTAGATCTGTTCTGGCGAGTGTTTTAAGGCCAAGGTGAATCTGTCATCCCAGATGAGGAAAGCACAGAGAAAGGGCAGTCCCACATCACAGTACCTGTATGCCAGTGATGCAGAGACAAGTTCAAAGCAGTAGGAGGCCAAAAGACCACAGCAGGGCACTGCTCAGCAAGCTGCACTGAAGTTGGGAGTGGGAGCACACTTGGACTAGGAAGCTCCCTGACAGGACAGAACCACTGCCCTGTGATAGGAGTCCCCTCTGCAAGTGTCTTCACCAAAGCATCCTCAGCTGGGGCAGGGGGACTCCAAGACTCCCCTGGTGGAGCAGCTCCTGTTAGTACCAGGGATGCTTTGTCACACTCCCATGTCCATGTGTATTCCCTTACTCAGTCACCTACCTTGTACACAACATCCTCAGCTGTACAGCTGTTCATAAGAATATACAAAGTAGGGTCTTTTCTTTCAAGAGGCTTTAAGTTTACATGAGTTCATACGAGATTATGTAAGACTTTTTTTCATAAATAAGACAGCAGCATTCACCAGAAAGGTCCAATTTGCAAATTTTTAAAGCTTTAAAAGACACTGCTCCTCCCTCCCTCTGCTCTGAACTCCCTGTAGCAGCTTGAAAAGGTGTAATTTGGGTCAGAATTCTAACTCTGCCACTTGGCAAAGACCAACTGCAGCAAATATAAAAGCCAAAGTAAAAAAAAAAAAATAAACCTGAAAGTAAAAACATGGAAGCAAATCTCTGTGCTCAGAGCCACCCCTGCTGCCAAAGACTGGCTTGCATTGTGCTAGTGCTTTTCCAAAATATCCCTGATGTGACACTGTCATTCCAGCCCCATCTCGGACAGGGGACTGCAGAGAGGAGGGCTGCACTGTCATCTGCCCAGCATGTTCTCATGTGCTGAATAACACTGAGAGCAGGAAGATGCCTGCCAGCTTCCCAACACCTTGGGGTGTCGAGATGGAGAGCCGGGACGCAGCTTGATGCAAGCAAGATGTCATCCCATTGTAGTTATCCAGAGGTACTTACAGTTTTCTTGGCTTATCGTGTTCTCTGCCGATTGGCTTACTCTATACATTAGTTTTGCACTAATTGGTTAACCTAAAGCACAACACTCAGTTACATGTCTTCTCTCTCAGCAACATCCTAACTCGTGCCTGGTGAGCCAGCACGCAGCCACTCTCTGTTTAACCTTCCCTTCTCCACGCCTACTCCTCCCACAGCTTTCAGCCCACAAGTCCCACCACGTCTCCCCTGACCAGCTGAGACATGCTGGAGCCTTGCTGAGAGCAGCCAGGCCAATCCCCACATTGGGGAAGCAGGAAGAATTCAATGTATTCATCTAAATCAATTTCTTCTTTATCAAGAAAAAAACTCTTCCCCTTCAATTATTGACATAAAATATTAAAAGGAAAACTTTAATCTCCTGGAAGTCAACTAAGAAAAAAAAACACCCAAGCAAAACCCACTACTGCCACACCAGGTCTGAGTTTGCCTGTTCCTGCTCACAGGGAGAGCAGTGGAGCACTGGATACTTGATGACCTGGAAGCCAGTTCAGAAGAGGCACACATGAGGTCCAGCTTCCTTTAGCATGGCAACTTTCTCTCCTTCAAAACAACAGGATTATTTTCAGCTCAAAACGGATCACACATTCTTATTTCCAAAGATCATACCGAGACAGTTAACAGTTCCTGCAAACAGAGCTTTGGCCTGGTGAGAGTATCGAAGGGAGCAGGCTGACATTTAAGTGTTTGGAAGCTTTTCCTTTCCATCTGCACCACTGGCCACACCCATTCTATGGCATTTCAGCACTTGGGACCTCATCCTGACAAGCCTCAGGCAGAAGGTCAGCTGTCCCACTGAAGTCACTGGGACAATTCATAAATCTGGACAGACTAGGGCCTTCATTTGGACATTGAAATACCAAGGAGCACCCAGCAGCTTACAAAGTAATACACATCAGTCTAAATGTGTGCAGACTGCTGCTAGACCAGGCTGGTTCCCTCAGAAACACCAATTATGAGGTGTCAATCTCCACAAAAGGTACAGAAATCAAAGCTCGATAAATGAATTGGCCAAGACAGACAAATGCCCTTTACATCAATTTTTATTAGAGATTTTGACATCTTGTGATTATTTCCTGACATCAGGCTGATTGCCCACAGACTAATTAGACTGAAAGCCTTGATGAATGGTAACACAGAAACAATGTGAAGCTGAAGGGCATTTTATTCCTCATATAGATGTCCCAAAAGGGACCCAAACAAACTGCAGATCCTGATCAAAGTTCTAACACACAGACAGCCCTCCCTAGAAAGATGAAGCTCTCTACACACCCTCACCTAGTCTCACTGTGGATGAGAGAACTTCATACTCCAGACAGCTACAACAAAGTGTAAGCTTAGTTAGCAACTTGGAAGGAATACCCAAGAACCCCCTAGCACTCACAGTAGCTACAGTCAGTGGCATCAGCTGCACACTGAGGCAGCTCATGAGACTCCACAGCTCACTCCATCAGGAATTTTACAAACTCAAGAACTTTTCCACACTTGCACAGATTAAGTTTCTTCCCCACAGGCACACCACACTTCCCAGATGCCAGCAGTACTATTTATGCTGCTTTTTAACATGAAACACTGAGTTTCTGGAAAGCTTCACAGAAAGGTATGTTAACTGTAGCTACCTTGAATGGATAGCTGTATCCTACCAGGATAAAACTCCTGCTGGACCCATGAGCATTTTTTGCCCTCTACCCAGCTCCATAAAGACTGGTTCAATGTTTTGATCGAGTGACATTACAAAACTAGAACTACTCACCATTAGTGCCTTCAAACCAATGTTCACTGAGGGTTTGGATATCTCTGAAGAGAGAACACCATCCATACCAAAGAGCAATTGTTCAAGATGGGGGTTTGTATCACAGAAAATACTCCTGCTCCTGTGATCAGATTTAAGGCTCAAGTTCCTTACAACTTAAAGAAAGCAAGTGAAAAACCAAAGATGCACAAAACATGGGCAAGGAAGTATTCCAAAACTAAGGTGACCACCTTGAGGAATCAGCAAAACAAAGTAGCGAAAGAGCAGATAGATGTTTCTTAAATCTTCATCTGTTGCTCCTGCCCAGCACTCAGCCTCCATTTACTGGCAGCAGCTCATCTTTCAAAACCTAGTTTGGAGAAAGAACAGCACCAAAGCTAGAGACAGTACAAACACGCCACCGCCCAGTCACACTGGAAGAGCTGGAAAGCCCAGGCTCTAAGCAAAGCAAGCACTAAACAGGGAAAAGAGACTGCCTGAGCGAGGCTGTTCCTTCAGGGACACATCACAATGTCAGGCACCAAGCTGAGTAAATGTCAGAACGCTGATTTAATGGACACTGCATGATGAAACAGAGGCTGTTGAGAAATCCACAGGAACACAATAAAAAGACACCTAAATCTTACTGGGTTTATTGTGCTTACAGTTTTAAGGTCACTGGCCAGAATACTTACTGTTGAATTTAAGATTTCCTTTTCCAAGGCAAACCAAAGGAAAAAACATGTGAAAGTAGTATGAGAGGAAAGGGTTTCACTGCAGGTGAAATTTAAGTAGTGTGAAGTGTTTAAAAGATCAGCCACAGTATTATTTCTGTGATCAATTTATGGAATACAGATTGCATTTGAGATCAGAGAAGATTACGTTCGATTCTGAAATAATGTACTAAAAACTCACCTGTTCCTTTCACCTGAGATTCACTTTGGTCACTGAAGGGTGAAAACGAAACATTTCTAAAAAAGTTCTGAAAACTGGTGTCGAAATCTGAAATAATATTTCAACAGCCTGATTCATGCACACTCTACCTGGGAGCACAAATAACTGCATCACCTGCTGCAGGGGAAAAAGAATCCTAAAATTTCTTTCTATAGAGCACAGTTATATTTTTAAATCCAAGCATTCCCATGGCCCAGGCTCAGAGTAGTTCTCTGTTTATAATACCAATATAAAATTACTTTTTGGCTTTGTTCTTTCTAAATTAAAAGTACTGATGGCAGCTGAGCATGTGCCTTGAAAGAGAAGACAACATACACTCTTTGTGTAACAAATGACTGAGTTGGACTCTTCAGAAAAAAACATCTTATCCCAAGATAATCCTTTACTGTGGGATGAACAAAACTTGCCCAGGCAGCAATGTGCCTTGCCATGTATCTATATACAATATCCAAAAGCAACAGTGAACGATTTAACAAAAAACTTGTTCTCTAAGGGAGCTCAGAACACAGCAATATCTACTTTCAAAGTTTAATCCAGAGAGAGGGTGGCTTTTTTAGCATTTTATTCAATAAGCACATCAGCAAGTAAAATTTTCAGAAAAATCTACACACAGCTTCCTAGAAATAACAGTGCACAATTCCCTCCTTAGTTATCTCTAACCATCTGGTTTTCATATTGTCCAAGCAGCTTAGACAGGTTTTTCCCCCCCCTCTGCGATCTTCCCATTTTGAGTATTTTAATAAATAATGGGCACCACAGGCGTTCCTAGAGAAAAATCCACATCTCAGCACTGCATAGCTGGACAGCTGAGTTCACTGGATGTCATCATCATCAAAGAGATCTTCAAAATCTAGTCAGAAAAATAAGACATGGTAAAATTAATCTCAAAAGTTTCAACTGTTACAAATGCACATACTCAAGTACAGTACTTTATTACTTGGATTAAAGATAGAAATAAAGGTGAATTAAGTGAATGAGAGTTATTGCACCAGCAGTTACCAGGAATGTAACATGAGGGTGGGAAGAGACAAAGAAAAAAGGTGGGTGGACCCACATATATGTTCTCTATGATGTGCAAATTGAACTGCTCCGCTTGAACAACACAAGCTTTTCAAGAAAATTTGTGAAAGCAAAGCTTCAGAGGAGATTTTATAAAGGGATTAAATAGCCATCACGGAGTCAAGCACAATTCCCAGAGTCCAGAACTAAACAGGTCCTAGCTTCGTGCACGCAGCAAGTCACAGATGTAGACACTCCTACAGGACTCTGACTTTAGGTCACAATATCAGGCACACACTTAGGAATTTTAATAGAATCATCAGGGTTGGAAGAGACCCTTAAGATCATCAAGTCCAACCATTAACCAGCGACTCTGCTGTAACCCCTAAAGCATATCCTGTAGCACCAGGCCCAGCTGCCTCTTAAACACCTTTGCACAACAGAAATATTTCATAGTATCATTGAGGGGTTGGGATGGACCTCAGAGATCATCCAGCCCCAACCCCCTGCCCTGGGCAGGGACACCTCCCACCAGAACAGGTTGCTCAAGGCTTTAGCCAACCTGGCTGTGAACACTGCCAGGGTCGGGGCAGCCACAGCCTCCCTGGGCAACCTATACCAGTGTCTCACCACCCTCACATTTCTGCCCATTCACTCCCATGGCCAATTAATACAGCTCCCTAAGTCACTCATAGGATCATAGAATTTTAGGGGTTGGAATGGACCTTATAGATCATCTAGTCACAAATCCCTCCACCATGGACAGGGACACATTCCCACTAGGACCACTCATCCAACTCCCACCTTCACACAGCCTCTGGGAAAGATGAACTACAATAAACCGGCCGTTTGTACGTACAGGGATGATAACCCCACCACCTCCCTGGGCAACCTGTTCCAGTGTCTGAACACCTTGAGAGTGAAAACATTGTGTCTAACATCTGCTCTGCATCTCCCCTGTCTCACCTTATGGCCATTCCCTCTAGCCCTTTCATCCCTCTCACCGCTGCTTCCCGCTGCATCCCTTAACACCCAAATGAGAACTTCAGCGACTAACAGGCATGAGATCCGCAACAAAACCATGCGAGGTCTCTCGTGACTGCCCTTACCATTGAAGAAGTCGGCGTGCACCGCTTTCTCGTTGGCAGCCAGGTCCATCAG